ACACAAAAAAACTACTTCTATACCATGGACAAAAATGTAAAACATAAAACTTATAGAAATAAATTACCAGGATACACGGTAGGCAAAGAATTCCAGGAGTTGACATGGTCCATAAAAGAAAAAAATTGATTAAAAATTCATTAAAATTAAAACTTTCATCCTCCAAAAGACTTTAAGGATGAAAAGATAAGCTATAGAGTGGGAATAAATAGCTGCAAATCACATACCCGGCAAAGGACTAGTAGTTCAACTGTACAAAAAGCTCTCAAAATTCTATAAGAAAAGGACAAACAACCCAACCAGAATAGGTAAAATATTTGAATAGGACTGTTGTTAAAGAAGATATATCAGAAAGTAAATACAGACTTACAAAGATGTTCAACATGAACTATTAGGGAATTTAAAAACAAAATTTTTTTGAGATAGTTATAGTTCTCCCTATGTAGTTCAGGGTGGCCTTGAACTCACTATGTAGCCCTGGCTGGCCTGGAATGCATGGCAATTCTCCTGCCTCAGCCTCCCACACTGATGTGATTACATGGCACATGCCTGGCTAAGAGGACTTATAATTATAATGATATGTCACTGAAACATATTAGAATGACAAAACAAAAACCCAATGATAATATGACCAAATGCTGGTGAGGATATGGAGAAAATGGATTATTCATCCACCACTGCTGATGGGAATGTAAAATGGTATGGCCACTCTGGAAAAGAGTTTGGCAAGTTTCCTACAAACAAACAAACAAACAAACAAACAAAAAGAAAGAAAGAAAAAGTAAACTACCACATGACCCAGCAATTACACTCCTGGACAGCTATCCCAAAGAAATGAAAACATCCTTATAAAAAAACCTATACATAAATGTTTACAATATTTTTACTTGGAAGTGCTCCAAAGTGGAAATAACACAGATGTTCTTTCACAGGTAAATGGCTGAACTGTAGTTCAGTTGTGCTATAGAATATTAGTTGATATGGTGTTATGTTGAGCTGCAGGGCACTCAGGTCAACAATTTCTGACATTGCCAGTCAAGTGGAAGACCCAATACTATTATGGATTACTGGACTCTTTTAGAATATTTTGCTGAGTTAACACACCTATAACATTCAAATGATGGAACTAAACAAAAAAGGGGAGGGCTGGTAAGATGGCTCAGTGGTCTAAAGCACCTACTTAGAACAAGCTTAGCAAAGCACAGGGACTGCGGTTCAATCCCCCAGCACCACATGCCAGCCAGCCCTGCCCCCAGGTGGGCTGAGCTGGCCACACACACACACACACAAATAAATAAATAAAATAAATAAATTTTTTTTAAAAAAGGGGGATACAGATGAATGTCCATTTTGTATCTGTGTATGCAAAATGGTTAGGACAGATATATAATTACAGTCTCTTAATGAATAGAGGAATTTGTTCTAATAGTGTTTGTAAATAGGATATCATGTCTGCATCTTGTACAGCAAAGAACCACTACGAAGAGAGTTTGCAATGTGTTAATTATTAAAACTGTCCTGCCAATTTGGTTTGAAACTGTCTCATTGCTATTTGTTTCTCAATAAAATCATGGAAAAAAAGATTATTATTTGATAATATAATGGGACAAACTAGTAATACAGGTGACAACTTGAATGATTCTTTGAATTACGCTGAGTAATAAATGCTAATACAAAAGGTTGCATAGTATGTGATTCCATCTGTGTAGGACTTATGACCAACAAAATGATAGAAATAACAAACATATTAGTTAAAAAACAAAACAAAACAAAACAAAACAAAACATATTACAAGGGCCAGCCTGATAACTCAGCAGACTAAAGCACTTGCTTAGGCAGAGTGCAGCAGCCAAGGTTCAATTCCCGTTGTGCTGAGACTGTGACTGAGACTAGGCATGGTGGCGTGCTCCTGTAATCCCAGTGCTTGGGAGGCTGAAAACAGGGGAATCACTATCAGTCCGATCTATGTAGTGAGACGCTATAGACCTTGTCCTAAATACAGAAAAAAGAAAGAAAGAAAGAAAGAAAGAAAGAAAGAAAGAAAGAAAGAAAGAAAGAAAACGTATTAGTGGTTGGTAGGGGCTAAAGAGGGGTAGAAGTGAAAAGTGGGCAAGGCTATAAAAGGACAACATAAGAAATCTGAGCTAATGGAAAAGTTCTTTATCTTGACTGTATGTATTATGTTTTATTTATTTACTTATTATGTATTTAGTACTGGGTCCACAGGGTCTCACTAGGTAGATCAGACTCATAGTGATTCTCCTGTTTTCAGCCTCCCAAGTGCTGGGATTACAGGCACGCACCACCGTGTCCAGTCTCAATCACCATCTCAGTGCACAGGGGTGGGGTCGGCACTGTAAGCCTAGGATCAAACCTGGGCCGCTGTGCTCTGCCTAAATAGGCACCTTAGTCCACTGAGCTATCTGGCTGGCCCTCATGTCATTTATTATAGTTGTGATAGGCAGTATAGTTTTGCAAGATGTCACCACTGTGGGAAAATGTATAAATGGTATATGGAACTCCCTGTATCGCTAGCTTGCTCCCCTCTCCTTTCCTTTTTTTTTTTGGTGGAACCGGGGATTGAACTTAGGCCACTGCGCTTGCCAGGGAAGCGCTTATTCCACTGAGCCATCTCCCTGGCTCTCCTTTCCTTCTTTCTTTCTTTCCTTCCCCTTCTGCTGCTGGGAATTGAACTCAGGGCTTTGGCCATGCTAGGCAATGACTATCATTGAGTGACACTTCTAATTCCTTTCTGTGTCCTTTTTTACATAATATATGTGAATCTACAGTTATCTCAAAATGAAAGGTTTAACAAAAAAGTAGCTTAAAACCCAGGATGTTTAAAAAAAAAAACCAGGATGTTAAGAGGAAACACATACACACACACACACACACACACACACACACACATAATTATAAAAAGCAGATTAAGTATCTCAATATTTAAAGAACTGAAATTAACCTCAGGCATTGTTATTGAGTCAAATTTTGGCTATGAATTGAGGAATTGAAGAGAATAAAGGGACTACATAAATACCAATTTAATTTCCAGGAGAAAACAATTACAAAAGGCATATACAAATCTAGATATCTAAGATAAACCTCTTTTTAAAAGAATATAAAGGTTTCAAAACAAATTCATTCCCATATAGTTGTCCAGCTCCCCAAGAAGAATTGCATTTCAAACCTAGAAGCTAAACACCCTGAACAACTTATTTCAGAAGTATAGGTTAGCACTGCTGCTAAGGAGTGATGGGTACAGATGGAGAAGCTCAGGGTATCTGTGTCAGAAGAAACAAGGTTGGGGGAAATACAAAGGCAATATAGTCTAAGCAACAGAACACAAGACTCAGTATCCACTCTCCACTATTGACTTCCTTACCCTGGCAAACAGTCTTAGTTTTAGCTTCTTCACTGAACTCCCAAGTAAATCACAAAATCTCCAGGCCACAATTTCCTTCTCATCTAAAACAGTGATAAAATTCTCACCTGCCCATCAAACAGGGTATTCACAAGGATAAATATGTATCTGCACGGCACAGAAATGTTTGAAAGAAATGTACTAAGACATAGTAACTGCCTATGTGGTGTATCTGAAACATTTAAAGTCTACATTATTAGAGGTAATATGCATAATGAAAGATAATGATTTTGAGAAGATAATGAGAAAAGGAAAGAAAGGAAATGAGATGATTTAAACAAAGGCAACAACCCCTTTTATTTTCCTCCATTATTGTGAGGTAATAGTAGAAAATTCAGTATTGTTAAAGGCAGACTAGCATTAGCAAAGCCATTTAATCAGGTGGATTTTCTATAGCAAGCTTTAAAGGATTGAAAAAAAACAAACAAATAACTCAAACCTCACAAGACTACAAATCTGCTAGGATCTGGGCAGAACTCCTTATCATGACACTGAAAGATGTGGACAGCCTGAAAATAAGCAGGAAGACCCTCAAACTGAATTTCACCTGACCAGCACTAATTAAATTTTGTCTGATATTTTAGTTACTCATTCAAGTCTGCTAGTTTCCACTTGAATCTAAGCTCTTTGACTAAAGTAAGCCACAATCCACATTTGTCTTTCTTTCTCCTATGATCCATAGCTTTGCATGAAGCCAGCACTCTGTGAACACTGAATTGAACAAACATATGTATTTATGGTTTATTGTTGCCTGTTTGAAGGAATATATTTAAGGTGCTCCAAAACAGAGAATGACTCCTGCTATTTATTTTTCAACAGGGGCTGGGGAGATAGCTCAGTGGAATAAGTGCTTCCCTGGCAAGTGCAAGGGCCTGAGTTCAATCCTGGGTTCTGCCAAAAAAAAAAAAAAAAAGATAATAATATTTATCAACAGTCCAACAATTTATTTAACAATGCTTTCAATTTCTAAGATTTTATTTTCTCTATTTTATTTCTTATGTCGTAAGATAAAAATAAGTTAAATTATGTAAATGCAAATATTTACCAATAATCTAAAAGAAGAGAAAATCTTCCAAAGGTAAATCCTAAACCCAGAAAGTCATCAGGCAAGATAGTGAGAAACTTCTAGCTGTGATTTAAAACAGGTTTGATGGGCTGCTTCTTGTCAATAATTAGCTGTTGGATTTTTAAAAAAGATTTAATCAGGGCTGGGGAGATGGCTCAGTGGAACAAGCACTTCCCTAGTAAGTGCAAGGGCCTGAGTTCAATCCCTAGTTCCATGAAAAAAAAAAAAATAGATCTAATTTTCTTTTGTTTTTATGCATTTGGTACAGGTTCTCACTATGTAACTTGGACTTACAGCAGTCCTCCTATTTTCAGCCTCCCCAGGGCTGGGATTACAGGCATACACCACCACACCTGGCCTGAGTGGCTGGCTCAGTGCACCCCCCAGGGGTGGGGCCAGTGCTGCGTGTGGTACTGGGGGTCAAGCCCCAGTCCCTGCATTTGCCTAAACAGGTTCTTAGTCTACAGAGCTATCTCGCCAGCTCTAAGATCTAATTTTCTAATCTTTACTCACCAGTGTCCAGTCTTGACTTGACATGCTGATATTTCGGGTTCTGTGGTATCCTTTTGGTTAAATACTAAAAATAAGAAAATTAAAAATGAATTGGGCTAATATAAAAATAAGGGTAGCAAAATTGCTAAAGAGCCAGATACTTCAAAAATATTACAAGTGATATGTTTCATAGACCTTAACGATGGAAAGAATGCTAAAGAGCTAACTGCCCCTTTCATAATAGGTCTCTCCTATGGCATTTTGGCAGGTGAATAAACTTATCTTGTTTCTGTCAAATCATTTCCGCATTTTGTCAAAATAATCTAAGAGCACCATGGTAAGAAAAAGAAAAACTGTTAAAAAATTATCTTTTACACTGAGCCCAAAGAAAACCCCCTAATTTCCTTTTAATTCACCCTTGCAACGCAGAATAAGACACCTGTCTCTGCCTTGAGAAATCTGCTACCATAAATTCTTCTTAATGTCATTCTTTCTATGAGGACTTCTAGGCAATCTCCAAACACACTCTAGACTTTATCTATAGTAACCATAAAAATAGCAGGTGGGTCCAGAGCTGAGCACAGTGCTCGAGATGCTGTTTAGGCCAGGCTCCTCTTTGGCATACTATCATTCTGCTTCCTTGAATCTAAAGTTCCAGTGACATCACTGTCATGGCTTTTATAGAAGCTGAGACTCATGTCAGGCCCAGGGTAAGGTAAGGTTTTTTTTTTTTTTTTTTTTTTTTTGCAGAACTGGGGAATGAACTCAGGCCCTTGCGCTTGCCAGCCAAGCACCTATTCTACTGAGCTATCTCTCCGCCCCCACCCCCAAGGTAAGTTTATAGTCAGTAAAATTGTCTATCTCAGGTCTCCCTTGTGCCTGTGTATTGCTGGCTAACTCTCTGAATCAAGTACAAGACATCAACCCACATTAGGTTCCCAGAGAAGTGCAAAAGCTCTTAGGGAAGGGAAAAAGACATGACAAAATACAGCTTTCTTGATTAGGCTTTCTTCTGGCCTACAAGTATGCAAACCATATGCTCAGAACAGGTAGTTATGGAGGAGGAAATTAAAATTGGGATAGGGCCAGGGAGGTGGTTCAGTGGAATAAGTGTTTTCCTGGCAAGTGCAAGGGCTTCAGTTCAATCTCCGGTTCCACAAAAACAAAACTGGGTACTACCTTTCCAGCTTCATCTTCTGCACATGGTCCAATGCTCAAGTGGTCTGGAATGTTCCCTTAATGTCTCCAGTCCTGGCAGATGTTTTCCTAGAATGCTTTTCCTCAACTTGTGATTGGGTAGAATTTATTTTCTCTGTACAGCTATTTTTTTTTTTTTTTTTCTGTACAGCTACTGATGGTGGAATTAGGCACTTCCTTCCCCTGTATCTCTAGAGTATAGACCAACACTCTGTCCCATTGTATACAACTAGATCTTCCCTAGTCTAGGATTTACTTGAAGACAGGGATAATAACATTTATATTTACCCAGAATTTAGCACATGGCAAGTTTATTTATTGATACTCAATACATGAATATCTGAATAAAAATTGTACTACAGCAACTACCTAGTTCCTTAGGAAAGAATATCAAACTTTAAAAAAAAATTCACTTGCCTTTAAAAACAGTTAAGTATTGGGGGAGATTGGAAAAAAAAACACAAATTAAAATACCTTATCCAATGATACTTTTTCAAAGCATAAAAGATACTTCTGCATCATATAAGATATCTCCTGGCCAAAGTTTTGGATTTCAGAGACCAAGAATAATTTTTAAAAACTGGGGGCACTTAGAATTATCACCTTTAATTTTGCCAAGTAAGGACATTTAAAAATCACTGCCACCAAAGGAAAACCTCACAACTACCATCTGCTATTTTGTTAGGATGAGGTTTATTATTTATATATTTAAAAAATTAAATTTCTTTTTAAACTGATACTTAAAAACATAAGCCATCTGCTATTTTTTTTTTTTTTTTTTTTTGTGAATTTAGGCAAGCACTCCACACTGAACCATGCCCTCAACCTCACCATCTGCTATTTTAATACCAAAAAAAAAAAAAAAAAAATCCTAGAATAAAAAGGTCTGTTCTTCAGTGTCATTTAAAAACTCATGACATTATCTGTGTTCTTCACTTCACATCAGACAAGTAAAACCCTTATTACGAATACTTAGTACTGGTCCTCAGATTGTGTTTACAAGCACTAAACTGTTTAACCCTTGGAAACAGTTTGAAAACTCATTTTTTTTCTTTTAAGGGGTAACCTGCTATCTATTAAGAGAAAGTGACTGCAATGCCAATTCCAACTCCTTTTCTAAGTGACTATGGAAAAGGTTCTTAAGGAAGAGAAAGAAAAAGCACAAAGACTGAAAAAGGAGATTTGGGAAAGTTCCCCAGAGACAATATCATGGCAAAATCAATAAATGATTGATCAATCAATCAAACAAATAGTAAAGTGAGTCAAGGCAAGTTAATACTCGACTTCAGTTATCTTACACTAAGAGACCTGGGGCGGGGGCATTCTACTTTGATCATGTCTATACTCTATTTCCTGGGTTTTTGTTTTGACTTTCTCACTAGTTTGCTAGCAAAGTTTCTTTTAAAAAATTCCAGACTAGTCTCTTATGAACCACGAGGATTTGTCATACTAAAGCCAAATAGCTAAGAAGTGAGGGTGTCCCAGGGGACCAGGTGTGGTGGCAGCAGAATGATGAGAGGAGAGTGTGGACAGCTATAGCCTTGAGCCCTTCCCACCTTGGTTTTCCCTTACATGGGACTAATGAGAAATCCATATGCTGTAAGAGTAAATGCAGCGCTTCTTTTCCACATTCCCACTGCACTACCAATCCTTATTCCTGACTTTCTAGTACCAACCACAATGTAAAGCTATTTGTGCTCTACTGCCAGCAGAGTGCCAGAGATTTTATTGAACAGCCTTACCATTTTCTTTAAAATTCTTGCTTAGGGGATGAATGCTTCTTGACCTACTGACCAACTGGCTTTTTTTCAATGATATAAACAGGCCAGAATGGTGGAAAGTGAAAGAGCTGTGAAATGCAGCTGTTTCAAGGCATACTATTCATTTATTCAACAAAGACTTATTGAGCACCAACCATTCATTAGTCAACATTTATTGAGTGTCTACCAGGAAGGACACAGAGGTAAAAACAGTGTTTGCCATCAGCTCTCACTGCCTGCTGAATATGCAGATGTCAAGCTGCATGATGAATCAAGAGAGGGAAAAAGGGAAGTGACCCCAGCATGTTAGACTGGTACCTAATCTAGACTCAGGGTCACAGACTGGTTCTTTAAAGGTGCCTCCTGAGCTGAATTCTTAGGAAAGAGGTTAGTCAAGCAAAAGCAGTAGTAGGGCTGGAGAGATGGCTCAGTGGTCTAAAGCACTTGCTTAGAACAAGCTTGGCAAAGCACAGGGACCGCGGTCCATCCCCCAGCACCACATGCCAGCCAGCCCCGCGCCCTGGTGGGCTGAGCTGGCCACACACACACACACACACACACACACAATAAATAAATGTAATAAATAAATAAATAATTAATTAAAAAAAGATTTTTTAAAAAAGCAGTAGTAGATGTAGTAGATGGGAGCAACAGAGCCTGGTAGAAAGAAAATTAGGGGTAAAGTATGGAGATGAGTAAATGAAGAGTCAGTGCTCAGAAACCTTACAGTAACTGAAGAGGTAGAGCACTGGGGTCTGAGGATGAACGATGCTAGAGATAAAGCCAGGGGTATACATGCTGAGAAACTTGAGTTTCATCCTACAGATCAGTGTATCTCAAAGAGGTACCATTTTACCACTTCTGAACCCATGGAAATTTGCCAACTTCTGGAACCATTTTGGATTGTCACAAATGGGTGGTACAGTGCTACTGGCACTTAATCTGGAGAGGTCAGAGATGGTGTTGAATGACAGGATAGCTCTCACAAAAAAACAGCCAGCCCAAATATTACCAGTGCTGAATTTGAGAAACTACAGAGAAGACAATAGGAAGTCATCAAAGGTTTAGGAAGGAATGATAGAAGTATGTTCCTGTTTTAAAAGATCACCTGGAGAATATGAATGAATACAGTCAAAAGGGAAGACAATAAATTGAGAAGCTATTGTACCAAGAAGATCTATAGTTCTAAGAAACTGGCAATAGAAATGAAAAAGAAATGGTTTTAAGAAATTTTTCAAATGGAAAAATCAGTGTAATCTAAACAGAACAATGGTACCATGCCCCATAAACAGGAGTCAAAGAAGAAGTATATCTGGAAAAAACATGTGTACAGTTGGGGAGTGTGACTCAGAAAAGGCCATAAGAAAATGGGTCGTAAAAGTTAAAGAAGAATTGCAGGAAAAAGGGAGTGGACAGCAGGGAACAATACTGTCAGGTCAGAGGACAAGAGGTCAAACAAACAAGAATGCAGCTCTAACGTGAGAGAATGGCAGAAAAGTGAATTCTGATTAAACAAATCAAGACATTGTTGACAGCCCCAGTAGATGCAGTGATAATAAACTGACAGGAGCACAAGCAAAAAAACAGCAGGTTGCTTGGGGTGGGACAGAGAATAAGGAGACAGTCTTTTTGTTTTGTCACCAAGAGAGCTGCTAAAGGGATAATTCTTGGGTTTTTTGGTTTTGTTTTGAAATAAGTAAGAAATTTGCAAATGGTTATGATAATGGGCAGAGGCCTAGAGCTCAGGAGTTAGGGGGCAGCTTTGGATACATATTTAAAATAAAGATACATAATATGTGATCATAATGAAGTTCATCAAGAGGAGGCAGGAAGTTGATAAAATTTCATTTTTGCGGTATTATTACAAGCTGTTTGAGAAACCAAAAATGTCAGACTGTTTGAGGGTTACATCTTTAGGGAAGGTCAAAACACAATGCTCTCCCCTGTGCGGCGCCCCCCCCCCCAACTCCAGCTATTCAACTTCTACCTGACTTTCAAGACCCAGGACAAGTATCTCCAAGTAAGTTTCCTCTGGAGGGCCCCATCAGAAGGAAGTCCCTTCCCAGCCTGGATTTTTACTGTTCTTTGTGCCATTCACCTCTCTTCCTGCTACCAGATAGTGCTACTAAGACAGCAGTAAGTACCAGTCAGATAAAGATCTGAGCAACTAGCAGCATGCATGCTGGTGCCATATGAGCCTCACAGACCTCAGGGGCTCTGGGAATCTGAAAGGAGGTAAGAGAGCACTCCTGGGAGAGCAAGCACTAGGCTTGAACTTCTGTTTTGTTGTTGTTTGGTTTTTTTTTTTTGTTTTTTGTTTTTTTTTTTGCAGAACTGGGGATTGAACTCAGGCCCTTGTGGTTGCCAGGCAAGTGCTTATTCTACTGAGGTATCTCCCCGGCCTTTGGTATCAGGTCTTAATGGGTTTTAGAAGGACAGTAAGTCCCTTCAAACTATCTGCAAAATTTTATGCGTGTGCATTTTTTCCCTCTGCAAGGAATCCTGTTTTTCACCAAATTTTCAATGTGGAATGTAGCCCCCAAAATGTTCAGAACCCTTGGTACATGGAACTCTGTGCTATAAAACTGGACATGGAGAGGTGGATTGCAAGCAGAGAAGCCTGAATACAGACTGAGGAGCCTACATGAGGCCTTGGTGACAATGGGACACACTAAAACACTGAGCTGTGAACTACATGGCTGGCAGATTACAAATTTGCATACTGGTAGATTACGGGAAGACAAGATGTTGTGAATGCATGAATACTGAAGAATGAACAAAAAGTCAAAGCAATTTCAGAAGGAAATTGTCTTTAAAAGGAGACTGAATCGCAAGCCATTCAAAATGAATACGCTTTTCTGACTTCATATCTCTCTCAAAATAGGCTGTGTATCATTGGAATATATATAATAACATTCACATTTAAAGGTCTTTTTTTAAGTTACTGTATTTTTTGCTTAGAATCACTGTACTTATCTATAGAGAGGAAATTCAAAAAATGAAAAGGAGTGAGTACTAGCCTCAAGGAATGCTTATATTTAAAATAAGTCTTTCGGGCTGGTGAGATGGCTCAGTGGTCTAAAGCACCTACTTAGAACAAGCTAAGCTAAGCTAAGCACAGGGACCGCGGTTCAATCCCCCAGCACCACATGCCAGCCAGCACCGCCCCCTGGTGGGCTGACTGGCCACACCACAAAAAATAAATAAATAAATAAATAAATAAATAAAAAATAAAATAAGTCTTTCAAAGACAAACTTTTCAAAATGGAAGTTTGACCTGGCCCAATTATATTAATCTCAAACACCAACACTGACCCATGTTTCCTCGTGCAGCAGCTCCTTTCTCAGCAGATTTTTTTTTCCCCAAATGACCACAGAAAACTTCCCAACCCATTTATGCTGTGATGCTATTCTCTTCCCAGTGAGGGGTAGAACCTATGTTCCCTCTACAGAATAGAATGGGCCTGACAATGATAGAACTACACCAGATGTGACTTCTAAGGCTAGATGGTAAAAGGTAGTATCGCTTCCACATGGTTCTCTTGAAACTCAGCCACCAAGTGTGGTAAGCCCAACCTGCATGGCAAAGGCCACCTATAGATGCTGTGGCCAGCAGCCCCAGCTGAAGGCTCAACCAACACAGCTACC